CCTTTAGCAAAGGTTTCCAAATGCCAATGTTCTTAAGGAAAAAACGTGGAAGGGGGAATTTTTTAAATGCAGCGTCCCCAACCCTCCCTCGTCCCCCCATAGCAATTCTGATTCTGTAGTCTGCCGTGGGGCTGACGAGCTCCATTTTTGGAATATCTTTTGAAGTGTAACATTCATAAAGAAAGCTGTACAAATCACAGAGGAATAGCTCAAGAATGCCACAGCCTGTACACACCCATGTCAAGAAACAGAGAACCCCCAGCACCCCTGAGATCCCTTCATGCCTCTTCCAGTCACTCGCCTCATCCAAGGGTAACCACTATCCTGACAGCTATAGCACCATAGATCCATTTCTGTCCCTTAAATAAATGGAATCATACAGCAAGTACTTTGTTGTGTCTTGTTTTTTTATTACATTTTTTTTAAAATTGTGGTAAAATACATATATCATAAAATGTACCATCTTAACCATTTTTTAAGTGTACAGTTCAGTATATTCCCAGTGTTGTTCAACCATCACCACCATCCGTCCCTGGGCATTTTTTCATCTTGCAAATGTGAAACTCTGTGCCCATTAAATAATAACTCCTGTTACCGCCTTCCGGCAACTAGACTAGACCAGACTAGACTCCGGCAACTACCACACTATATCTGTATGAATTAAATTGCTCTACATACCTCATGTAAATGGAACCATATATTTGTCCTTCTGTGACTGGCTTATTTCATGTAGTATAACGCCTTCAAGGTTCATCCATGTTTTAGCAGGTGTCAGAATTTATTTCCTTTTTAATGCTAAATAATATTCCCTTGTATGGATATAACACATTTTGTTTATCTATTCATCTCTTGATGGACACTTGGGTTGCTTCCACCTTTTGGCTACTGTAAATAATGCTACTATGAACATGAGTATACAAATATTTCTTCAAGTCCCTGCTTTTAATTTTTGGGGATTATATACTCAGAAGTTGGACTGCTAGATAATATGGTAATTCTGTTCTTCATTTTTTGAGAAACCATCATACTGTTTTCCACAGTGCCTATACTACTTTACATTCCCACCAACAGTGCACAAGGGTTCCAATTTTGCCACATTTTCAGCAACATT